TATCTGTATATTCAAAGTGGTTAGGATAGATATATAGTTACATTCTCTTAATGAATAGAAGTGATTTGTTCTAATGGTATTTGTAAGTAGGGTATCATGTCCACATCTTGTACAGTAATTAACCACTAGGTAGGTGGTATGCAATGTGTTAATTATTGAAACTATCCTACCAATTTGGTTTGAAACTGTCTCATTGCTATTTGTTTCTCAATAAAATTATGGGATAAAAATTATCACTCTTAAGATCAGAACACTGATGAAAATATAGATTAAGTTCTAAATAATGAGGGAATTGCAACCTTTGCTAATTTGCCAGAAATTTCCAGTGACACCACTACTTTCAAGATTGAAATTAAAAAGTCTTTTTGCTTTTGTGGTAAACAGTTCTAGTTTACAGATGAGTTCTAGTTTTGCTTTGTTTATTTTGGCAATAAATGATTGGAGATGTTTTTACTTTCAAACTCAGATACAGAGGCTTTTTGTTAGTTGATTTAAGTATTTCTTCAACGTCTTACTTCTTTCGAAGTTCCCAGGTCGCTGTGTTTCCTCTGGTGTGGCGGCCTGCCCTCACGCTGTAGGGCATGCTCCTTTTCTTGCTGTTACTTGGCCCGAACTCACTCTGCAGAGCCTGTTTCTTTTCCTACCTTTAGTAAAACTTTGCTACTGTTAAACAAGGTGCTTAGTTCCTTATACCAATTTAACTTAGTTTAATAAATGTAGTCTGATAGTTGTGCACAGGGAGATGCTTAGGTCTCGTACTTAACATTTGACTTCTCTCCTGTGTGTTGTTCTAGGTGGCTCAGGAGTCACAGTCACTGACAGCTCTAAGATGTCTGAAATGCAGAAAACCATTCAGGTTCTACAAACTGAAAAAGTGGAATCTATAAAAGAAATTGAAGGACTTGAAAATAAAATAAAAGATATAAATAAAAAATTATCTTCTGCAGAAAATGACAGAGACATTTTGAGGCGAGAACAAGAACAGCTAAATATGGAAAAGAGACAAATAATTGCACAGTGTGAAAGCTTGAAACTGGAATTGAAGACTTTTGCTATGAAGCAAAGCGGTAGTGTGACAGAGATGGAAAGCGTCTTTCCGCAGTGCTCCTCTGAGGAAGAAGTACTTAGGCCACAACCAGCCCTGTCTGGTATAAAATATTTGGAACTTTTTTCAGATTGGTATATCACTGAGTTGTTTTACAAGACATACAGTTGACTTGTCGAATACTTTGTGAAAATGGAGGATTTGTAGAAATGACTGTAACTTGATTAGTACTGTTTGGTTTGGATGCATTTCATAGTTAATAGATTACCAATCAGATTTTCCACTAAAAATGATTAAGTATTGATTAGGTGTTCCACAGCATTCTTGTTTATTCTTTGGGTATTTATATGGAAGTCAGTGATGTAAGAAACCATGTAGATTTAGCTGGGCATACTGGTGGTGCCTGTGGTCCCAGCACTTGAGAGGCTGAGACAAAGAGCTGAGGCAGGAGGATCAAGATGCGTTCCAGACCTTGGCTACGTAGTGAATTGAAGGCCAGCCTGTGCTACATAGTGAGACCCTGATCCTAAAACAAGCAAAAAGAGACCATACAGACTTCTGCGAAATGCTTATGTATGTAGACATCACGTGGGGAAGTATGGTCTGTTCCTTTTACTCTGGAACTGAACACGTTCTGTAACTCGTCAGGGCTCAGCCTCTCCCAGGAGGAGTGCAGCATTGCGTCTTTAGAAGGGGCTTGGTTACCTTTTGAAATGATCACCTGTATCAAAGCAAAGACCTAAGTGATAAATACCATAGGGCTTCTACCATTTTGTGCGTTCAAGATGATATTTAATTACTATACCCGTATTATGTGGTATAGAAAATAAAGTTTATTTTTTCATACTGGGAATTGAACTCACAACCTCGTACTTGCCAGGCATGTGCTATGCCGCTGAGTTATATCCCCGGCCTAAAAAAATAAGTATTGAGTGAAGCAGACCAAACTCCAGTATTCAGTCACACCAGGAAAACATAACAGAAGCTGTTTGACTGAAGAGGTGCATCTTGGTTTGTACCGTGTCCTCTTCTCACGATAGAAGTTCTGACCTTTATGACCGCATTCATCCTGTTTGGGCATTTTGTGCACTTGGTGCCCTCCCACAGCTTTCTCTCTTATACATTGGGTTATCCTGAGCTGGTTGGATGCCAACTCTCCGCAGATCACATGGATTTTCAAACTAAGTTTCAAGGGATCAGGATATAGTCCAATGGCGTAAGTGCCTGCCTGGCAAGTGCCGGGTCCTGAGTTCGATCCCCAGTGCCTCACACACAAAGAACTCAAACTAAATTGCAAAGTGAAATCATCATCTTCCCCACTCCTTGTCTCCCTCGTTACTAGAATTTACTAGTCTCTCACAGCAGACTGCCAGAGTGGTCACAGAGCAAGTTGCTTCTCTGTCTTTGAGTGAGGTTTCAGGCTTGTTCCTGGAGGTGCTGCAGGGATTCTCCCGGGTGCCTCAGTCCTGGAAGGGAACACAGTGCAATGGCTTCAGGACATCGTTCTGTATTGGGTGAAGTTCTAGTTTTTAGCTTAATTTTTATTTGGTGTCTAGGCCTGGTCTCACTGTAAATGGTCACTGTTTCCTGAATGACGGTGACCTGCATCCCTTCAGCTAAGCTCATTCTGACTCCGTGTCCCTTTTCTGGAATCCCCTCTGTGTATGGATCTGTATGTGATGGGTTCATATCTGAAGCACTTAGCCAACAGAGAGATGATTATATTGTGGTCATATAAGCATACAATCATTGCTTCGCTAGGTTTGTTTTCTTGTTTGCTCTTAGACCTTACAGTACTTCTAGCCATGCAAGCTAATGAACTGTTTTGAAACACAGTTGTATTTTGATTAAGGCAATAATTCAACGCAATCTAGAATACAGTTATAATTTTTTCTCACTCTTTCACAGAATTAGATTTTAACAGATACGATTTCTTTGAAACTAAAAATATAAAATGACAAATTGTTTCTCTTAAAACAGTATACTAATTCTTGCCAATTGTGCTTGGGGTTGCAAGTAAGTGACAGGTAGTTATTAAAATATTCTAAATAATTTTAATGTCACTTCATCTACTATTTTTTCAGATGCTGAAAATGAAATAATGAAACTCAGTAGTTTGAACCAGGTAAACTCATGTTATGAAAGAACAGTTCTGGCACGGGTTAGAAAAACATATTTTGGTTTATTATAGTTATTTATTTTTTGTTTTTTCATAAAAAAACCCATGTGAATTTACCCTAAGAACTTTCATTTTAATAATTTTGTTTGCTGATTATTAGCAAATATATATAAACTTTTTTCACCATTAATCAACATATGTGAAAGAGTTGCGGAGTTGAAAAACATGTCTCACACAATCTTCCTGAGATCCGCTTGACAAGCATTACACATGTAGGGGCAGTAGAAGTACATCCCATGCCAAAGTCAGTGTGATTTTCTTTAAAGATTTCAGGGATTTGCTTTTTCTTTCCCCCTAGCAATTGCTAGTTATTTTGTAAGTATGTTTTTATAGTTTTACAAATAAGATGTTCTATAAATGTGTTTGAAATGAATTCCTGGGTCTAGATGGTCCAGTGTTACGCTCTTCTAATTTTTAGCTATTACTGAAGACATACTGAGTTGAAATGTCCAGGTATATAGCTTGCCTGCTGCTTTTTCAATTGGAAATTTCTTATCTGAAAAACGTTGCTTTAACATTTTTGCAGGATAGCAATCTTGCTGAAGAAAATAGGAAACTGAGAATGCGTGTTGAGGTCTTAGAAACAGAAAAGTCATCATTGAATCAAGAAAAGGTGGGTACTATAAAAATGGGGGCAGCATTAAAATGGGGTTTGTGTTACAGCTCACAGCTAAGGGCCAGTTTATATCAAAATGGAGGATGTAGTTATAGAGTCCCAAGAATAAAGCTGATCTCATTGGCACTTGCCGGGCAAGGTTCAGAGTATGAGAGCTGGCCAGCGTATACGTGTACAGATAAGTCACGAGGCACATGTCTTTCCTTTGAATAGGAAAGAGAGCTAGAGGCCCTGTTTCAGCTGCTGTCGAGTCCTGTATGCAGCAGCATACACAGGTGGGTCTGGAGGTCTGGGGTGCATGTGTTCCTATGATGTCACAGAGTAAGTCTGTCACGGTAGACAGCAGTTTCTCATTGGTGAGGGGTAGGGAAGGGTAGTGGTAGGAATGGAGGGTGTGTGTGTGTGTGTGTGTGTGTGTGTTGGCAGCAAGGGTAGAACAGGATTCTACAGTGGTGCACTAGGATAATTTGTCTAGGACAGGTGTTTATACGACAAATAAAAGCTGGTATTAAGTTAAAGGGCATTGTTTCAACTTCATTTAATTCTTTATTTTTGAATAGTAAGACATATTCACTGATAAGTACATTCAGTAGTATATATTCTAGAAGAATGAGAGGGATACAAGTGGAGTATCTTTTACATCCCTGTTGCTTGTTCTCTTTTCCAGACAGTCTCTTACCAATTTCTAGTGTGTCTTTCCAGGCTGTATGAGTGTATATTATGATTATACCTATATATTGCTTTAAAGGAGTACAAATGTCAACATACTTATGTGTTGCTCTTATATACCCTAACATTTTATTTTCAACATCTTTCCATATTAGTATGTAGGTGACAAAATTGTTAAGTTTCATGTAGTGTGCTAACATTCTGGGGTACTGACACTACTGTTTCTGCACACTAAAGGTCAGTAGTGTTTCCCATTCATTTTTCTTTTTTATTACTACCTTATATGTATCTGTCTCTTCAGATTATATTGCCATTGTATTACTGGCCTTTATCTAACTGACCTAGGTATACTGTAATTTATAGAACTTTCTGCATATATCGTCTGGGTCCTACAAGCTTTCCATGAATTTTTAAATTTATTTATTTATTTATTTTTGAGACAGGGTTTCACTATGTAGTTCAGGCTGGTCTTAAACTCATAGCAGTCCCCCACCTCAGCCTCTCGTATACTGTGATTACAGGTATGCACCACCACGCCTTGCTCCAGGATATTTTTGAATTGCTTTTTTTTAATTTTTTTTTATTAATGTGTTTGTGATGCATAAAAAATAAATTTGTCATGGGGCATTGATGCATATACTTATTCCATTTTGTTTTTGTTAGCTTTCCCCTTCCCTCCCTCCCTGTTACTTTATTGGATT